TCATAGTAGGATTAAGCATCAGTTCTGCATTTTCTTTTTGTCCTCTTTTATTTGGATTATTAGCATTACTTTCTTTTAAAAGCAATTTTATTGCTACATTTTATTTTTACATTTTTCCCTCTATCCTCCTCTTCCCTCCCAGAGAGCAACCCCATATAACAAAGAATATTTTTAAAGAAAAGAAAAGGTATTATTTCAAACCATGGTTTCTTTGCAGGAATCTTTTTAAGCCACATGCCTATTTTGTGAGGGTTAGTATAGTTAAAAACAGATAACATAATACACAAATCCACTTAATCAGGAACATGTAAACTGGAATACATTGGAACATGCTGAAAGCAAACAAATAAGTGAAGGCAACATTATAAACCTCTTCTCCCATTCTCTCAGCTAAGTCTATTCAATAAGGGCTTCTTCTTCTCTCTTCTTCTTTAGATATCATCCTCCATTATTTACTCCTTTACTCCAGTCTTTGATGAAGAGATGGCCCTTCTCACAAAGGGGTATGCATACCCCGATCCCATTTCCTCCTGTCATCTCCAGCAAAGTGCCTTCATTATCCCATTTCCTCCTGTCATCTCCAGCAAAGTGCCTTCATTATCATCCCCTCTCTCACCATAAACTTCAATCCCAACCCCAACGTACTGGTTCCTTCCTGCTGCCTACAAGCACACCCAAGTCTCTCCTAACCTTTAAGCTCTCACTACCATCCCCAAAACTACTGTCCTTATTCCTCCTCTCTTTCTCATTCAAACTCTTTGAAAAAGCCAGCTACATGAACACCTCACAGCACATAACACAATTTACTGCAAATATAAAAGGTCATATCGTAAAGAAATCTGAAGAAAAGCCAAAACAAATAGGAATAAGGGGATTTATCAAGCAAGGTATAAAGAAAATAGATAAAATGGATAATATTGATTTATGAAATTGAAAAACAAACAAAATCAATGCATTTAGAATTAGAAGGGAAACAGTTAATTTGCAAAAAAATTGAAGCAAATTTCTATAATAAAGGTCTAATATACAACATATGAGATAAATACACACACACACACACACACACACACACACACACGAACCTTTTGTTCCCAAATGGTCAAATATGAAAATGCAGTTTTCAAAAGCAATTCAAGCTATCAACTATATAAAGACAATGCTTCAAATCACTAATAATAATAGAAATGCAAATCAAAACAAATAGCCATCTGATTAGTTATAATCAACAGAGCCCTAGCATTAGAATTGGGAAAGGTTTCTTGCAGAAGGAGAGGCTTTACAAGGCAGAGAGGTGGTACAGTGGACAGAGCACCTGCCCTAAAGTCAGAATGACCTGAGTTCAAATCCAGCCTCAGACCAAACACTTGACACTTATTAGCTGTGTGACCCTGGGCAAGTCACTTAACCACAACTGCCTTAAAAAAAAAAAAGTGAGACTTTAGCTGAGATTCAAAGGAAACCAGGGAAGCCAGAAGGCAGAGATGAGGAGGTAAAGAATTCCAGTTATGGAATAGCCAGTGAAAATAGAGTCAGAGGGTCTTCCAGTTCAAGTTCATCCTTTGGGCAGGATCACCTTTGTGGACCCTGTGAACTCATATTTTTTTTATTTTGGGGTGGGGTTAGGGAAAGTTATATCCTTTCTGATTGGTACAAGAAAACATCAAAGATGAGCTAGAATTCCAGGAGCTACTTAAACAACAGTCTAGCTAGAAACAGCTTGTCAGGCTGGGCATGAAGCATTCAGGTATACAATAAGGCTTACAGAAAAGGGTGGGAACGGAAAAAGAGAGAAAGGGGGTGATGGTAGTCTCAAATAAATACCTATTCTCTATTGGTGATACCTAAGGGCATTGAGGCAAAAATCATTGATATGGTTTCAGAAGCCAACCTGTTAGCAGCTAATTTTTCATTTTCCCTGCCCAGCTGCCTGCATTTGAACAGTTAATCATCTGAAATACTTTTGATGGATTCATCTGTGGATTTATCTGTGTGGGTTTCATTTCCAAACTCATTATGTGGATTTGATTTCCAAATTCTGGTTTTCTCAGATGGCACCATCCTAAGCTATTAGAAAGGGAGGGATCTAGGAAGAACCCTCACAAAATGGGGGTTCATCTGTCTTCTACTTGCTCCCCTCCAACCCCACCCATAGTCTGTCACTATGATATCCAACTCTTTTAGATGAAAACTTTATTTGAGGTTAATAAAGACTAGAGTTGATGGCAAACAGTTTTATGCTTCTAGTTTGTGTGTGGAAACTGGAGTCCCTAATATTGGGTGGAGCCAAAAGAGCTACATTCTAGATAAAAGGAGGAAAAAGTATTAGTGAAGTCTCACATTGCATAACCCTGCAGTGCCACCTACAGATAGTGTGTGTCAAAGAGAGGTGGGACTAAGGAGAAGGAGGAGGATTCCAATCTTGAGCCAGCACCTTAGAGGGTGGGAGGAAGGGTAGGCTAGGGAGATAAAGTAGGAGGAAAGGGGAGGTGTAAAAACATGGAGAATACCAATCTACCAGTGGTTTACTGGGTTTGGAGCAGGGGAATTTCTATAAATCATTTAATGGAAAATAAGAGTAGGACTGGTTCACACTGCTCAATTGATGTCAGTCCTTCCAAAGAACCATCTTTAAAGGGAAGGAGAAAGGACAAGAAATAGAGAAAGAGGAGGAGGAGAAGAGGAAGGAAAAGGAGAGGGAGAGAGAGGAGGGGAAAAAAAGGGCAGCATTATGTAACCACAAGGAATTGACTTTCTCTCTCCTACCCCTTACTGCCCCTCTTCCCTCCCAACCACATGATACTTTAGGCTACTATGACCCTTACTTCCATCCTAAAAGAAACTGTTATGAATCCAATGCTTGTCTGGGCTAATACCATAGACGTAAAGCAGCTATATGTTGTTTCTACAGGAGATAATATGGTAGGCATGTTATCTCATCTCCATGAAACTTAGATTCTTTATTGGTAAAATCAGGGAGTTGGAATAGGTGATCTCTAAGATTCCTATCAGTTCTAAAAGTCATTGAGGGCAGAGGCACTGTCTCATTTATTTCCCCTAGAAGAGAGACCCTTAACCTGGGGTCCATTAATTTAAAAGATGGATAGATAGATAGATAACCATATTTCAATATAATTGGCTTCCTTTGTGATTCTATGTATTTTATTTATGTATTTAACACTATTTTGAGGAGTCCATAAGCTTCACCAGACTGCCAAATGGGTTCATGATACAGATAGACTAAGAACTATTTTATTGTCTTGGAGTATAGGGAATTTTGGAAATGGAAGTGTCTGTGTCTCTGTCCACACCCAGAAGTGGCAAATCTGGATTTGCAGGATTAGTTGATGTCTTGGAACCCACCCAGGATTCCCATTCCTCTTGGCTCCCTCAGTGCTGTGTGTGTTTGGACTGACAACAAAAACACAACCCAAGACAGCTCTATAAATTACCACATAGCAAATGGTTCACAGAAAAAGCTAGAAGGAACCTTCCAAATCACCTAGTCCAATCCCTTGGAATAAAGAATCTCTTCCTAATTCCTGACAAATGCTCATGCAACCATGGTTTGAACACCCCTGTTTAGTTCTGGGAAGCTTTCTACTTTCAGAAGCAGCCAGTTTCACTGTTGATTTACTTAGCAATTGAGAAGACTCCGTTTGGGGTCAGTTGGACTAGGTGACCTCTGAGGTACTTTCCAACTCTGATATTTTGTGACTGGAGAATCCTACCGTTCTGTGACCTAGTAAGCTTGCCAGGCAGCGGAAAAGAGAACTGACCAGGAAGACCTAGGTTCAAATTCCACCTCCGAAGTATATCGTCTGTGTGACCCAGGGAAAGTTACTTAACCACTCAGTGATCAACTCCAAGTTGTCGAGAAGGAACCGTTAGCACTGGTAGAAGTTTCCTCAACCTGTGTATTTCCCATACCAATGAAATGACAAGGTGCAGTATCTACCCTTTAGGGCAGGGACTAAAGTGTTCGTTTTATTTTTGTGTCCCCACTGCTTAGAACACTCTTGTACGTAGTATAATACATGCTTGTTGACTACTAAGTAAGTCGTCTTAAGTTAAAAAGAAATATACCTACCTGACCTTTCCACTCATTGGTGGTCGATAACACCAAAATTTGAGGCTAATAAAGTGATGCAAAAAGCACTGGACCGTGGTGTAGTGGAAATGGTGCTGGATTTTGGGGTCAGCAGTCTCTGCCATTTCGGAAACCTCTGAGATCTGGGAAATTCCCTTAACTTGTACGAGCTTAATTTCCTCATTCATAAAATTAAGTCCAGCTCTATATCCTCTTTTCAGGAGGAGAAGGGACTCCCAGAGGAGGACCATAGGAGAAAGGGAGCAGCGTTTAAGAGTACGACCTCATCGGGAAAGCTCTGAGCGCAACCGACTAAGGGGGTGGGGAAAGGGAGGAAGGAGGACGGGACGGAAGAGCGCCTGGAACATTATGAGGCCGAGCCGCAGCGGGGGAGGGGGCACTTAAGAAGAACGGACCGGAAACGGGAAAGGGGAAGCTTGAGCCGACGGAACGCCAACACGGAAGTGGTCGGGCTGCTGCAGTCAGATCCGGGGATGGATGGAACCGAAGGCTGCAGCCGCAGCTGAGTAGAGGAATGAAGAGGCTGAGGATTGCGCTGCTTTCCCCCAGGGAGGCCCTGTAGCCGGAGTGGGGACGAGGCGCCGGGCGTGGGACTCTCCTGCTTCGGGCCCCTGGAGGGAGGAGGACGAAGACCCGGGACGTCGGGGCCGGGAGCCCGGCTGGGCTCTGACAGGCCCGTGGACGGGCTACGAACGATCTGGAGGGGCCAGGCCCGGACGGGGCTCCCTGAGGGGGACCCGGGACAGCCCCGAGAGGGGCGGGGGCTCGGCCAGAGACCCGGGGTTGGGTGGGAATTAGACCCTTAGAAATCCAAGCTAGGATTTGGGGAGAGTGGGCGGGGGACCTCCCCCTAGACCCCCTTCCCGCTCTGCCCCTGCCTCTTGAGGGGAAGGTGGGGAAGCTTGAGGGGAGGAGGCCCCGAGTTCTGAGGTTCAGGCCGAGGCTCTGAGTTGGGGTCCCCGACAGGGAGGCGTGCAGGGTTAAGCATGGCCACCCGGCGTTTAACCGACGCTTTCTTGTTGTTGCGGAACAATTCCATCCAAAACCGGCAGCTGTTAGCCGAGCAAGTGAGTAGTTACACCTCCTCCACCTCCAGCCCTCTGCATTCACGTAGCGTTGCTGCGGTGAGTCTCCTGCCGGCCTCCTCCACCTGCTCCCCGCGGCGCCCCGCGCTCTCTGTCTCTCTGTCTCTCTCTTTCTCTCTTTGTCTCTCTGTCTCTCTTGAAATGTCGTTCGTTGTCTTGTCGTTGTTAGGAGGCATCAGACTGTAGTGCTGGGTTTTGTTCTGAAACCTCTCCCTTCGCCATCTACCCCTCCTCTCTCCCTTCCTCCACGTCTCTCCCTCCTGGCTTGTCCTTCCAACTTTCGCAGGGCCGCCCTCGCTCCGGACTCGGACAAGTTCCTCCTCCTGGGTCCTGCTCAGCTTTGAAGCACCGTGTTGGATGCTTCTTGAAGCACTGTGTTTCACGCTTTCGTTGCTTCGTGTTTCTGCTTGTTACTTTCCACCCTCGCCCCCTCCTCCTCAGTTACCTAATCCGCTGCCTTTTCATTCTGATGCCTCCCCATGTTGTCCAACAGATCTTCTCTTTAAAATGACTCTGTGGAATGGAGTCCTTTTAGCCTCATTTTTTCCATTCCTGTGTGGCAGTCGAGTCTCTTATTGCTTTATGCTATTAATAATTTTTCTCTGTTTCCTGAAGAAGACAGTTTTGTGAAACTGTAAGGTGGGGGGTGAACTTCACTGCTTCCATTTTCCATTCAGGAAATGAGTCTTTCCTTTCATTCTGACTGCCATTCAGAATGCCACATGGTGTCTGTGTGGGAATTAATCTAATACTGGCACTTTTTTTTTTTAGGCCTGGACTATTAGCCTAGCAGTCCAGTAAATTTTCAAAAGTGAATCCTAGCTTATGAGTTTAGATTTATTGGTAGAAACAGTGTTTTTAAATTAAAATCTAGTAATGGTGTTGGTGGTAATGTTATGAGAAGACATGACTCAACTCAGACAAATACTTAGGAACTATAGTTTAAACTCACAGGCTTGGAAATGCCTCATTTGAGACTATTACTGAAAACTTGTTCCCCTTCAGAGACCCCTTAAATTTTACTGTGATCGCTACCAGTTTCTTCTGAAAATTTATTTTGTATTGGGGTTATTTACAAAGTGACTCCCTAAGGATATACTCAGGCCATTCTTTATTGGTTCATAGGCATAGAAAAAGAGATTTTTTTTGAGATGAAAAAGTATGGGTTTGTTTTATGAGGAGATAGATTTGAGATCAAATAGGCCCAAGTACCAAAACATGCATGACCTGCTATATTTGCATATACACATTTTGTCAGGAATCTAAAAGCTATGATTTTTGGAGATGGTGTTGTTGTCAGATCTGACTTGAAGTGACCCCATTTGGTGTTTGCTTATCAAAAATGCTGGAGTGGTTTGCCATTTCCTTCTCCTGCTCATTGTACAGATGAAGAAACTGAGGGAAACAGGGTTAAGTGACTTGACCAGGTCATACAACTAGTGTCTGAGGCTGGATTTGAACTCCTGAAGATGACTCTTCCAGATTCCAAGCCCAAATTTTAGAAGCATGCTGTACTAAATATCCTATTGGGCTTAGTTTTCCGGGGTCTGGCATTTATTAGCTTTATGACCCTAGGCAGGTTACTTAACTTTTAGTTACTTAAGACAAGCCTTAGGATAAATTTATTTGTAATCTGCATCGGTGGAGAGATCTTCCACATAATGGGTTATGTATGCCGAGGAAATCATATATCCTTCACCTGTATTGATGTGCTCAGAAAACAAATCTTATAAATTGTTTTAAAAATACAGTCTTGAAAAAGGCTAAAGATGTTTGATAGTATAGACATGGAATTATTCAAGCCTTAAATAGGGAAAGTTAGACTGGAATAACTCAGGAAACAGAAACAATATATCAGTTACCAATTTCTGTTTATACTTTATTAACAGAACAAATTGTTTAAAAGTTATTGTACCTTCATAATGGACTAGTAATAAAGTAAGGCTGTTTACACTTTGCAAGTACAGCCATTTCCCACCAGGAAGTCAGACTTTTAAAAGTGGTAATAGTACTTCTGATAAAAGCATAAAGCCCTAATAGAAAAAATAGCTTTGAGAATAGTAGTATGTACAAAATTCTCAATTTTCTCTAAATTTTTTTCTAAAGTTGGAAATGGAACTAGAGAGGAGGCATAGTAGGATAGAAAGAGCACAGTTGTTTAGGAGTCAGACAGGCTAAGCCCTAGACTTTACTCTGCCACTAACTTAGCACTGTGATCTTGGGCAAATCATCTCTCTGAGCTTCACTTTCCTTATCAGTGAAGTGAGGGATTAAGTTAAATTATTTCTGAGGTCTTTAAAAATCTAAAGTTCTTTGATACCAATATCTCTTCAACTCAGGATTTATGATAATCAAAATCATTACCATCTTCTGGGTTAATAGTCCTATTCTGAAGTGCCACATGTGATTTGCACCTTGATTTGTTGTATTCCTTTGTTTGAAGATCAAATATAGTTAAGTGGACACTCCAGAACAAGAAAATGTGCTGATTGAAATATGAAGTTAAGATTATTGGCTAAACTTGGCTTGGTCATGAATAGAAGGAAGGCTTCCTTCCTGACCAGCAGAATATCTTAAATGTTACTTTTTTACATAAAAAGTAATCAGATCTGATTATAGTGTGGCACTATATGCTCTAATATTGTAGAACTAATAATGTGTTTAGAATGTATATTAACTCTTGTTGATTATTTCCCCCAGCAATACAGATACAAGTATCACCTTCCTTCTTTCGTTCTCTCCCTCCCCATCACCAACCCCCATACACTTTCTGAATTACTTGGGTGAAAATTTTACGTGAAAGCCAACTTTTTAGTAGTGAGCCTCTCTAGCTAGTCTGGTCCTCAAAAGGAAGACAGAGACATAGTATATCACCAAACTCTTCTCATTTTTTTTTCCCAATTTGTTAAGAGTTGCCAGAACTTGCCCTCCAAAATCTGAGATTAACCTTCTTACAGGAATGAAATGTTGAAGTAGGACTTAAGGGGAGAAAAATGTACATTAAATTTTATTTTAATTGAATTTCTTTTTTTTTTCCTAAGAGTAAGTTGAAGAAGGAGAATTTTAGCTTTCTGTAATTTCATCTTAGCTTTCTTCAAAGTTCAATTGAATGCCCTTTCTAATGACTTCTCCTGGCCACTTCACTAATAGAACAATTTCCGAGAAACAGTGAATTTCAGAATGGTAAAGATTCCTTTCCCAAAATTAACAGCTAAGTATGAAAAATTCAACAAGGGTTAATTATTTCAATATTCCATTTATAGTTTCTGTGAACAGTACTGAAGAAGCTCTTTAAATTTGTTGAGATGTGTATTAGTGCAACAGACAGCTCTCTATGCTCATCTCAAAAAAGATGAGCAGTTCTAGATTAATATTCTATTAGGGCTGGGGTTTTTTTCCCTTTGCTTCTAAATATGTGCTCAGTGACCAAGGGCTCCCAACCCTAGTAGAATTGGTTTTCACTGTTTTTACCATATTATTTATGTCTTTGAGAAAGGGTTGGCTCTTAACATCCTCATTCTGTAAATAAGACTGTTTCATTTGATTTGTGTAGTGTCTTGCATATATAGACACTTAATAAATATTTGTTTTCCAGATTCTAGAACATTTTTGTGAGCTCTTACCTTCAAAAAATAAATATTTACAGGGATTATTTCCATGTTAAAATGTAAAATTGTTTTATTTCTGATGAGATCACATTTTGTCATTACTTCATTATAGGGAATTTTGCAGTGTAACCTTATCTAGCTGATATTTGAATATCAATGAATATGACAAATAAATTTTAATAAAATAAGTTTGGGGTTTTTTACCTTGTTTTTATATTCCATCTTTAGAACTGTTTGTTGTTGTTGCTATTTTTCCAATGACCAAAACAACCACCATAATCTATGTAAATGAAAATGTAGTTTTATAAAGTTTGACTATAGTTAAGTAATGTAGGATTTTTCTTTTTACTTATTTTTTAAATAAAAATGCCTTAGTTAGTGGAACTCTATTTTTGGTGAAATGAGTTAAATCTGAAGTTGTTTTTTTTTTTCCTTCAAAACTGACCATACTCTATCTGTCTGTCTCCATCCTTCTCTTTCTCCTGCTTTTTGCTTTCTCTAACTGGATGGGACTGATGGGAACAACAAATCACTTCAGGAGCTGGATGAGGTATTGTGTTTTGAATGTTTTTGAAAGGTGACTAATTTCAGTTTGTAAAAAATGTCCCTGTTGCTCTGTGTAGCCAGTGGAGCTGACATTTATCTTAATAGTCATACTATCTTTATTCTCAAAATATTCTGTCTTTTTGTTATATTCCATACTGTAGTACACATGGTAGATTCCCTCTTAAAGTCAAAAGAAATGGTATGCTTGATTTCATTTAGGGAGCATTTCTTTGTTATAATCAAAGTATATTACTCAGTTGATCAACAAGCATTTATTAAGTGCTACAGGGCTAACTCTGGGGGTATAAAGACAGAAGTGAAACAGTTGTTGGCCCCAAGGAGCTTATGTTCAGTTCTATTATAAGTGGGGCTAATTTTATGCTTCAAGTTTGAAAATTTGGAAAGATGTACAAGTATACCTCAATTTAAGAAATCTTTATTCAATAGTTAGAAAATTTGGATTTTCAAAACGTACATTAAGAAGTATTTATGAAGCTGATAGAAGGATTTGCTATTAATTACTAAGTTTCCCTAATGTATTCAAAATAGACATTTTACACAGATCTGATGTGAACAGTTTTTCAGAGGTTACTGTGTAAATCAAATTACATTTGTAGTTTTGGCAAACCAAATTAAAGGCTTTTTAAAAAAAAAAAAACAAAGACTATTTAACTCACTTGCTGTTTGTAGAGTAATAATAGCTTACGTTTACTTAACACATTTAAGATTTATCTTTCTTCATGGTAATACCATGAAGTAGTTGGCACTGTCTCTCTTTTCACATGAAGAATCTAATGATCAGAGAAGCAAGTAGCCTGCTCACGGTTGCACAGCAAGTAATTGTCACAGTAGAGACTTGAAATCACATCTAATGATTCTTAAATCAGACATTTTTAATGCTTCGCCATAAAGAGAAACTGTCCTGTTTTACTTGACCACAGTTAAGCTGTTCTCCCTAGTATGTACTCTGCAATCCAGTGATTCTAGCCATTTCACTTTTCCTCACATATAATACTCTATTTCTAGACTCCTTGCCTTTTCACCAGCTGTCCCTTCTTGCCTGGAATGCTCTCCCTCCTCACCTCCACTTCCTGGCTTCCCAGGCTTCCTTCAAGAATCACCTCAAATCTCCCCTTCTATAAGAGGTCTTTTTTGGCCCCCCTCCCCATTGCTAGTATCTTCCCTCTGATATTATCTCTCATGGACATTATCTTGTAGGTAAGTAGCTTTTTTCATGCTATCTCCCCCATTAGAATGTGAGTTTATTGATGGTGGAGACAGGTTTTGCCCATTTTTTTGTATCCCCAACACAGTGCCTGGCACATAGTAAGCAACTCAATAAAAACTTGTTGACTGAGATAGTATGAAAACATGGATTGCCCAGAAGGATCTTTTCAGCCCTCTCCCCTATGTATTTACTTTCAGTGTGACAATAAAATTTTATGGAAATTTTTAAATGAATACAAGGGCAACTAAAAGATACATTTTGCCAGAAGGCAAATATGCACAAAGATAAAAAGCTCTAGAAAATTTTTTAATAAAAATTTTCATGACTTCTTTAAGACTTGGAAATTGTCATTAAAAGATTTTTAATTATTATAGCACGTATAAAGGAATTTTGTGTCATTTGTTTCCCCTTTACTTCTTTTCCTGATTGCCAGAAAAGCAGTCCACATGCTTATTTGATCAGTTTTCCATTGTAACTTAAAAAATCTACAGACTGCTGTCTATAAGGGATATATTTTCCTCCTTTTGACTATCATTCAGGCTTTTTGAATATTACTTATACAGAAGAATCATAGATCAAGAAACATTCAATATGAGTCCTCTCATTTAAACAGAAGAGATGGTTGTCTGTCAATAAAGTTTTCTAAGAAGCATTATATTTTTTTTTAAATGCCAATAAGGAGTATTGGTAGCATTTCTAAAGTACTTAAAAATCAAATCAAAAGTGAAAATATTACATCTGGACATAAGGTAGAGGGTGGAAAATCACTTTAAATAGAGCAAAGATAATTCTTAAAATCTCTAAAGGTTCACAGTGTCAGATGTTAACAAGCTATAACCATATGATTTATAACTGAGATAACTAAGTTAGCCCTATTTTTTTTTAAATACCCCCTTTCTGTATCAAAGTCTTTTTTTTCCATTTGGTTTTTGTAGTTATATAAATTATTACAACCCATGGCACAATGGAAAGGCTTTCTGCTATGAAATAATTCTAATAGCTTGTTTTTTTGAAAAGCTCTTTATTAATTTTTTTTTGTCATGTACGCATAAGGAAACTAGAATCCTTTCTAATCCAGATGAAGTAAAATTTACATTCACCTATGTGTCTAAAGAGACCTACAACACATGTAACTCTAACAGAGGGAGAGAAATCATTCCAAATTAGTAATGTTTGTTCAAGTACACATTTCTTTGGTACATTCATTTTCTTCTAGTCTCCTGTGTCTTTTTAGGGCCAATATTTTAAAAAGAGTAAGCGTGTACTTAGAGACAAATTTTCATATGAGTTTTTTCTAAAATACGCGTTTTCTCTCCTTAGCTTGCTGATGATCGTATGGCACTGGTGTCGGGCATCAGCCTAGATCCAGAAGCAGCAATTGGTGTAACAAAACGATTACCTCCCAAATGGGTTGATGGAGTAGATGAAGTAAGTTGAAATTTTTTAAGTATTACATTTAGCATATTTAACACTAGTATCAAATTGCATGTCTAGATTTCAGCTGCAAATATATATTTGGGTGAATATGCTTCTTGTCTAAGAATGTTTAAAGTTGTTTCCAGGCTTCAAGAATAATATTTCTTATTTGTGGTAATTTGGACTTTATTTGTAAAACTAATGGTAAATTCCTGAATCATGATGAAGAAAGTTTTGTATGTAATGTAGAGAAAGTAGTATCAGTGTAACTTATCCCCAGAAATTGTTAGTGTGACCTATAACTTTAGTACACGTGCACAAGTGCCTATTATGTTACCTAAGCTGACATTCCCTTCTTTTAGTGATGGTGTATAAAACCAGCCCACAGTACATTCACAATGTGTTTACCATGTAAAGAAGCATTGTTTTTTCCAAAGATTTACCTTTGGATTGTCCATTTACTTCATAAAACATTCTTTGTTTTTCATACCTTCCTATCAATCAGTAAGCATTTATTACGTGCCTTCTGTAGTTCAGACACTGTGCTAGGTGCTGCAGACACCAGGAATGAAACAATCTCTATAAGGACCTTATATTCTAACTAGGAAACAAGTACATATATATATGTGTGTATGTATATATATGTATATATATGTATATATGTATATATATGTATATATATGTATATATATGTATGTATGTATACACAGAATAAATATAGAGAGAATAAATACAGATTGATTAGATACAACGTTGTTAGGAAGGGCAGGCATTAGCAGTTGGTATCAGGGAAGGCTTCATGGAAAAAGTTATGTTTGAGCCATATCTTAAAGGAATTGAGGGAGGCTGTGAGGTGGAGGTAAGGAGGGGGTGTATTCCAGGCACGAGGAACAGCCAGGGCATAGCCATGGAAAGAAGGGAGATAGAGTGTTGTCATATATGAAGAACAGAGAGGGGTCTCTGAGTATGAGAGGGACGTAATATACACTGAGATTGGAAAGCTAGGTTGAGAAGGGCTTTGAAAGATAAGCAGAGCCGTTTACCTTTGTTCTTAGAGACATTAGGGAGCCCCTGGAGTTGATTGAAGTCAGATCTGCACTTAAGGAAAACCACTTTGGCATTGTATGAAGGATGGACTGAAATAGAAAGAAACTTGAAAGAGGGAGACCAGTTAGGAGGCTGTAGCTGCAGTGATCTAAATGAGATGTGATGAGGACTGAACTAAGGTGGTCCTTGTGTGAGTGGAGTCAAGAGGTCAGATTTCATAAGCACGAAGGTAAAAACAAGCTACAGCAACACATTGGATATGGGGGGGCTCGGGAGAGTAAGGAGTGTGGGGTGAGGCCAAGGTTGCAAACCTGAGAGACTGTAAAAATGGTACCTTTTGAGAGAAGTAAGGAATTGTGGAAGAGTGGTAGGTTTGGGGTGAAAGACATAATTAGACATGTTGAGTTTGAGAGAACTCTAGGACATGAAAACCTAGAGTGCATACGTACCCTCCTTACCTCTGCAACAGAAAGTCCGTCTTGCCCTATCACTGTCTTCCACATGAAGCCTTACCTCATTTCCTCAACTGCTAGTGCCTTCTCTCTCAAACCACCTTGTTTTTAATTTTTATATACATTTGTTGTCTCCCTCACTAGTATGTAAACTCCTTGTGAGAAGGGATCATTTCATTCTTTATACTTGAATCCCTAGCATCTCTCTTGTAATTAAAAGGACTGTGATTGGATATAAAGATTGTGAGTTATCTGCATAGAGATGATAATTAAACTCATAGGAGTTGATGAGATCACTGAGAGAGAAGAAAAGAAGAAAACCCAGGAGAGAGCCTTGGGGAATACCCAAAAGTAGGGAAGGGGGAGGGAGAGATGGAGAAAAATTTGGAACTCAAAATTTTCCAAAAATTAATATTGAAAACTATCTTTACATGTAATTGATATAGATGATCTTTGTGTATCATAGCCACTGCTTTCAAGTGATTTAGGCAAGAATGCCTGAACTTTTCATTTTTTATGTAACTAATAGTCTAAAGATTTGTTGTATACAGTTGTCTGAGGAACTTTGTGACGTATTTCAATGGTGTTAATTGCCTCCTGTCATTTAGATACAATATGATGTTGGCAGAATTAAACAGAAGATGAAAGAATTAGCCAGTCTTCATGACAAGCATTTAAACAGGCCTACATTGGATGATAGCAGTGAAGAAGAACATGCCATTGAAATAACCACACAAGAAATCACACAGGTGAGGGTTCAAAAGATTACAGAAGAAATGTTTGTTTTTTAAAACTTAAGAAAAAAGGTACACTTTTAGAGTGACCTAGAGGTGGACGGTCTTCCTAAGAATGCACCGAATGCATCTCAGAATATCTCCTAGATTTGTCAAAGGATGCTATTAAATTTTATATGTAATGTACCAAACAAAATTGACCTCAATTCACTTTCCTTTAAAAAAAATTATATACATGTTTGAAACATATTTGGAAAGTCACATTGTGACAGAGTATCATAGATCTAAAAGGTTTGGGACTCACTCTCCAGAAATCTCTAATGTCCTAACATGATTTCTTAATGAAATTTCGTCTGGCTACTATTTTAACACTCAGTATTTAAAATGATTGTTTTTCATTTGTTAAAGCATATTCGATTCATTTAATTGTTAATTTAATCTCTATATTAAGGCTTAGATTATATTTCTCAAATTGACTGTTTAATACCAAGTAGTACAAATAAAACATCTTAGATATTTTTCAAGTGTGAAATTTCATGTCATATCAGTATTTCACATTAGTAATTGCCATTTGGAATTGTGAGTTTTTGAAAACCCTATTTAAATTGTTCCATTTAATCAGTGAAGATTCTGCTTCCAGCTCTTTCATAGATGTCAGAGAGCAGTGCAGGCCTTGCAAAGCAGAGCACGAAACTGTACTGAACAGGAAGAACGGGTCCTCCGAAATGTAGTATCCTCTTTAGCTCAGTCTCTTCAGGAATTATCCACTAATTTTAGACATGCACAATCTGGCTATCTCAAACGTAAGTATCATTTCAGATACAAGGACTTGGTCTCTATATTTTTCAGCAGTAAAATGATCTTGGCTATAAAACTACAAGAAGATATGTTCATTGGTTTTGTGGTTGTTATTTCTCTGTCTTCCCTGTTTATATTTATTAGTTTTGAGCATGTATGAAAGCTATGTCAAAAGAAATGTTGATCATTCTTTACTTGGAAAGAATCAAACAAAATGGCATTACTTATGACATCAAGAAAGATTACATAGCTATGTTGGCACTGTAATGGTAAAACCTCATTAGTATAATTTTAAGTTAAATCTAAAATGGAGGTGGGGAAAGGGCTGGGAATATAGTGGAGAAAAGCTAGAAGGAATTATCCGAAGTTGTTAGCCCACTTCTCAGTTGCTGTACTGAAAAGTAATGGTGTATTTCTTTTAAAAATCCAAATTTTACGTAATAGTTCAGTAACAGACATTTAAAGAGCACTTACCTCATGCATGCACAGATTCTAAAAAATATTACTACCTTGCTTTCATGCAGCTTATAGTCAAGAATGAATGAATAAAGCATAATAAATGAATAAATAATAATACATGAATAAAGCATAATAAATAAAATGAGCTAGAATGTAATAACTACAAAGTACAAGTTAAGTAGGCATGAGATTCAGGTAGCGGGGGAGCACTTTTACCGAAAGGGGAGGAACGAAGGAGAGCTGGTACAGACTTTAAAGAACAATAGTCACTTGTAGGAACAGTCTGTTCATGAATAAATAAGATTAACGTATCATTCTTTCAGTAGTTTAAATACCTCTTTTATGATCTTATTTATTTTTCCCATTTGCCTGGCAAAAAGTAAACCTCAGCTCAACTTCTCTAAATTATTGCATATTTCTACTTAGTAGGGTATTAATTAATGTGATTATTGATTTTATTGTTAGAAACTTTAACTGAACAGTGATACTTAACTTTTGGATTTATTTTGGTAATCTAAAAATTAGTAAATATTTCTTTTTGTCTCTTGATTTCCTGTTTGGAGGTAATTTTTTAAAATGCCCTCCCAAAAGTTCACATTGACATTATAGATTTATTCCATTGAAATGTAGAGTAATATTTTCAAAATGATGTTAAATATTTTAGTAAGGTAGCTTCATATCTCCAATAGGCATGAAGAATCGAGAGGAAAGATCCCAGCATTTTTTTGACACATCAGTACCACTCATGGATGATGGAGAGGATAACACTCTTTATGATCGGGTATGTTAAGGACCACAAGGTTAATAGTAATTCACTAGCACTTTTTCCTTTCTTTCTCTTTTTCAAGTAACTGATTTCTAATATGTTTAACATGATTGTACACGTATAACCTCTATCAGATTGCTTGCTGTCTTGGAGAGGGGGGAGGGAGAGGAAAAGATGAAGAAAAATTTGGAACTCAGAATCTTACAAAAATGAATATTGAAAACTATCTTTACATGTAATTGGAAAAAAATAAAATACTATTTTTAAAAAGAAGTTTGAGGTCTGTAAACAGAAGCTAGATAGCTATTTGTGGGTGAAAATAATAAAAATATTACACTACAAAACATTTTAAAATATCTGATTTCTATACAGTAAAAAACACATCAGTAATGTTACTATGCACTCATGAGGTAGTTTTTTACAATGTGCTGTAAGATAAATGGGGGGGGCGGCGGTGGTTGGGGCCAGAGAAAAGCTAGGTCTTTATTTTAAAGGCTGATGTGATGTTGTACTTTTGCTTTCCTGAAAGCTTTCCAGAAAATAGTCTACACTAATTTCTTGCTTATGAATAAAGCAAAGAAGCACAAGGTCATTCTTAGTCATTTATTTCAAAGTTGACTTTGCTTAGGGTAAGGCACACATGTAGGTGACTTGGATTTACTCTGATAATCCAAGTTACAATTCAGTACTCATTTGGAGCTAGTAATGCTTTGTCAATGTGGATCTTTTCCTAGTAAAGACTTGTACAATGAAATCCATATACTTACCTCAAAAGAATGTTTTAATTATGTACACCACTTACATAATGTAGGCATAATATAGTATCTTTCCTTTATTAAAGAGAAAATCCTAACTTAGAAGTCTCTGCCTTTTTTTTTCTTTCAACAGGGTTTTACAGATGACCAGTTAGTATTGGTAGAACAAAATACATTAATGGTTGAAGAGCGGGAACAAGAAATTCGCCAGATTGTACAGTCTATTTCCGACCTAAATGAAATATTTAGGGACTTAGGAGCAATGATTGTAGAACAAGTATGTGAATTTATCTTCTCGTTGTCTAATATTCCTTCTGTAATAGCAAACCTCTCTAGAGAACTGGCTGGTTCTGACGTCTTTCAGCTATTATTTTTGCCACTGTATGAGCTTTCTAGTTTTGGCAAGTTACTGCATAATGGATGCTGGAGCCACTACCATTCAAATATGATTAAAGTAATGATTCATCATTGATAAAATTCTTTAGGAAATGGTATTTAGGCCCTGATCCATTGTGAAGTCAACTGCTCAAAATAGAGATTTAGAGCTATAGAAGATCCAGGTACAGTAAGTATTTTAACAATTTCAAATAAACTGAGATAATTTCCAGTTAAAAAATGTTTCAATTAAGGGCCCTATTGTTATAGTACATCAGCTCCTTTCCCCCAATTTTTTCCAAAAATTGAGGCAGTTTTTGAAAGAAAATTAGGCTTTCTGAAGCAAAATAATTCATTTTTGTGATGGTGGTTGTGGCTTGAAATCTTTAGTTCTTATATATATGAAAACTGGGGTTTACATTTATTGCATTTGGTGGCGTTGTAATAACCATGTCTGGTTTCGCTGGTATTATCTGTTTAAGACCTTGTGAGCACTAATGCTCCTTTTCTAAGCCAGTTCCTACTCAATTGTATATTTGACAAAGCTTCAATAAGTTGCCATTATCTTTTAGGATTTAAATTTTTAAAAATTTGTTTGTCGTTGCTTATGAGCTATATGATTTTATTTTACCTAATAGAGTAAGCATGATTCTTTATGCTGATTGATAATGGTGATTTATCCATATTTCCCCCAAATCATACTGAAACATTCAGTTATTTTTTTAAACATAAGGAATTGGTACAGCTAACCTTGTTAATAATACCTGTGTTTTACAAATTTTATTTTGAAGTTCAGTTTTTAATCATTAACTGTTTTATTATTCAGGGGACAGTCCTTGATAGAATTGACTATAATGTTGAACAATCCTGTATCAAAACTGAAGACGGTTTGAAACAGCTTCAAAAGGTAAAGGGAGAGACTTTTAAAATAATGTTATTTTAGTGGTTGACACAGTTTTAAGAACTGTTACCAAATGAAATTATGTCAGCGGTTTTTTCAGCACTCATATTCTTGAAGTGTTTGGTGCCAACGTCTGTTATAGAAGCATCACGAAGTAAATCTAGAGAATTCTGACAAGTCTGTAGTCCAGGAAGCACTTTATTCAAAGCCAGCCCTGGGTCACTGTACTTTTTTTTGCCCTTAATGATCTCTGGTGAACCTCATGCTTAGATCTGAAATTACTGTGCACTTAGGAGCATGACAATAAAAATGCAAAAAGGTTGCAGTTCTTTCCCTTTAAAAATGCATTCCTTTTTAAGCCTAATTTTTTTTTTAAACAAGTTATTTCAACATTTGTTGAAGTCTCTTGAAAAATCTGTCTTCATTATTGCTGACTCAGACTTTTCTTGTCATGGAGCATTTCTGATGAATTGCTGGCAGAGAAACACTTCTGCAGAAGATCAGAATCTAGTTTTTCCCTTTTAATTGCCACAGCAGATTTCTGTATTAGCCTGAGAAAAGTAGGTTAAAGTGGAATACTGTTTGTTCTCTAATTTTTTTTTCATATAAGAGAGCAGTATGGTAGACTTTTTTGTATTTGTTTATTTTTCTTATAGATAGGGTGGGTCTCCTGCTCTGCTTCTAAATCTAATCAGTTATAGGAAACAGATGTGCATAAACTGCCAAGTAGATTTCATATTTAGTTGAATGTATTTTAAAAATAAAGTGTGTGACTATTCACAAGTAAAATTTATTCCTTCCATTTCCTTACGCACTATCTAGTTATATTTCCAGCCATAAAATAAGCCGCTTTTTTATTTTCAGTACCACTTGGTTGTATTTCTGAAGCCACTCATTTTTTAGAACAGAAAGGAGTCTTACTCATAGTAGTCTGAGCTTGTTCTGTTTGTTAAAAGTTTGCAACCCACTCAGAGCTCTTGTTACTATATGCTTGCAGAGAATGAGGCTGGTGAAAATATGTCTTTGTTGCTTATCTAGAAGATAATATCTTCCTTGGTATAATGCAAAGATCTATTGAGTTAGGTTAACTTGGCCATCAGCTATTATATAATAAAACAGTAAAAACTGGCTTTGGTTCCTCATATAATAACTAATTTTAGAAATTCTTCTGAATTTTGCAAGGCTTTAGAGGCATCTTATCTTGAATGGGACTAGCAAAATAGATTGTACAATATGAGTAGAGTAAAACACTAGGGCTTCTGAATTGGACTAGTTTTGAATCTATTTAATGTTGACTTCTTTAGCATTGCATTTTTTTCTTTTTATAATATAGAAACCATATGCATTTGATAACATATTACTATATTATATATATTACTGTTGTATATATGAGTGATTGGATACTAACTAAACTCACAGGAAACTGATTTATAAGGAATCACAGGACTGATTTATAAGTCAGAGTGCCATTTATCTTATAAGTTTAGTTTATTAGTTTATGCCATTTAGTTATATAAGTCGGAATGCCATTTAGTCTAACCAATTCTACTCTGGAGGGCAACTGCTTCTGTTTGTAGATCTCTCAGGAGGCCAGGTAACAGTTCTGATGATGTCTCAGTGGACATATAATTAAGAGGAGGCAGTTGGGTATTCAAAGATGTTTCCATCAAGCTTTTGTGCTTTGTGAATCCCCCTTTTCTAAGGTAGACCAGGACCATTCTCCTAGAAATTGGGGCATTCTAGTCCCTAATGTCCCAGGGTGCATTATTCCCATTTTTCTCTTTTTTTTTTCCACACAATGTTCCTTACCAAGTCTCATTACAGTATCAATCCTTGAAAGTTAATTAGATAACACTTTATCTTATCAGTTTATCTATCACATTTTAGATTGCAGTCTCCTTCTGAGATTTAGGAAATCTCTTTGATGAGCTTTAAGAGAGGCCCTAGTCTCATCAGCAAGATAGTTTAGAAAGCATTTCTCAGGGTGGCTTATTTCTGCAGCTGGCTAATCTCCATTTAATTCTTTTTAGCTTTAGCTCCCATTTCAGAGAAAAACATTTTGTGACCTCTGCTATATGTAGAGTAGGAGAGAATTTCATGATTTTGTGAAGTAGATGAAACTTTGAATATTCAAACATTAATCTAAAGAGTTATACAGTTTAAATTGTTATGCAAAAGGTTTTGTTAAAGTAGTGAATTGGTAAGTACAATGAAAACAGAAACCAAGAGCATCAGCATGACTTTCAATTTAGACTCTGAGCTTTAGGAAATTTAGGTTAAATAAAGTAGATTGTAGAATTAGTGAAGTGTTCCTTTTATAATATTACTTGGGTTAATTTCTGGAGTATAACCATATAGCCTGAAATCAAGATCTCTCATATTAAAAATAACTGGAATTTAAGAGCGCAAGAGTATTGATAGGTCAGCATTTATTTTGGCTCTTTTGAAAAGTCACTTACTAGATGTTTTTTCTTATTCTATAGGCAGAGCAGTATCAAAAGAAGAACCGGAAGATGCTTGTTATTTTAATTTTATTTGTAATAGTTATTGTCCTTATTGTTGTACTAGTTGGTGTAAAGTCACACTAGGTAACTCTCTGTGTGAGTGTGTGTGTATGTGTGTGTATGTGAATTTTCCCAGTGTGAATGAGTGGACCTTTATTTCTAAAAGCTGCCTTTGAATGTATAACCCTCAGTGGTACAAGTCTGTGCAATGTTTCCATAGATTCTTTTTCATGAATCATGTTTCAGTGATAGGAATGGTTTAGTTTTTTCCAACAGAGAATTTCAAGTCAAATGATGATGCTACCAAATAGAAATTGAGTTCCGTATCCAGACGTTTGCAGTATTTTTTTAAAATAGAAAATATGAGGGATTGAAAGTTTACAAGCACATGAAAAAGCTGTTAAAATATATGTATATGCTATTTTTAGCAGTCATATGTCTGAGTTGCATGTTGAAAATACATTTGGAAATTGAGGTTGGGAGGAGGTGATTTTTTTTTTTTAAAACAATGTGTTTTTAAAGTGATTTGGAACCAAAAAGTATGGTTGGAGGTCAAATGCCTTAAACAGTGGATTCTAAGTATTTAACATCCTTATTTTCCTCCACAGATTTTCCATATTAAAATAAATTAAGGCCTTTAAAAATTTAGAATTCATTCCCCTTTAATGTCATATAGTTTTCCAACATTGCTAATGATCAGATTAATAAAGTTTGGATACTAAGAAACAATCATGGATACAAATACATTTAGTTGCTGGTTAAACAGCTTCATGTATTTAAATGAATTAGTCTATGTGTGTCCTTCATTTTAGAATTTCTGCACTGTATTTTTTTACTGTAATCCACATGGTGTTACTATTTATAGCTACCCAAGCTGAAAATCTGATGATATGAATTAAAATCATAGTTAAAAGGAAGCTCCTCAGTTATTCTTATTCATTCCATTATTTAATATACCTATAGGATGACTTTCAAATCAGGATCTCTTTAATCAATTAGCAGTTTAGCCCTGTTGCGTTACCAAAGTACAATTCAACCATAGATCACTAACAGAACATATGCTATCAGTGGTTATTAACAGAGAGCTAGGTCCATTTTAAAGTACTATAAAAATCTTGACTAAGACACTTTCTTATCTATGTGTGGCAGATTTCTAAAGAAGGACTTCATAGTTGTACTTACTTTTGTTGATATGGTGCTGTCAAATACTACTGGAATCATAGAACAATGTGATGAGTGATGACTTTGGAGAATTAAATTCTTCGTGTTCTAATTGGTCCTGAAATGACTGTACAATTTTAAAGGTTTTCACCTAATGGAATATTTATATGACTCTTATTTATTCTGTACTTATTTTCTTAAAGGTTTAAAAACAGCATAATTCCAGTAGAGTTAGTTTTTTTTTTTAAACTAATAACATGAAATGTTCTCCATAGAATTGACTTTGAAGTTATTCCCAGAAATTTAAACTCAGGTTCAGAGTGTAGTAATATTATATGTGTGACTAAATCATAAAATTAGATCTTATATTTAACATTATAAACCTTTGCCCCATCCACTCCCATTTCACTCCTGAATTGTTTATGGTTATAGGCAACCACTCACTAGATTGCCTTTTGACTGAGATGACAATAGAACACATGTTGTACCTGACATTCCAGGAAATAGCATCTTTTGAAATGTGGCCATGATTCTTCCATAATTCTTCCTTGATAGATACCTTATTTTGTTATGGAAGAACTTTAGGGAACAATTACCATTATCCCAAAACTTGGGGCTTCTTTCAATTTCTAAAATAACTATTCTTTATACCAGATTGTTAGACATGGTGTTTAAGGTGACCATAGTTGAAAATTCTGCTTTTGGACATGAAACCAGTTTGATGGAAAATTCTTCTAAAAGATACAGACCATGAGAACAGTTTTGGGAATACTTGTGGAACTTGTATCTGTGTATTCATCTGTCTATAAAGTCAAATCACAGTAGTCTTTAAAGAAAATAGCTCATTTAAGAAATAAAAACCATTTATTTTCAGAGAGTAGGATTTTTCCCCCAATATGGATCCACTAAGTAATCAGGATTTCCCTTTTTTAAAATATGCCTGATGTGAGAGGGAGGGAAAGCCATTTCCTTCTATGAAACTAGGATGAAAAGTAAAGTGTCAACTGCTTGATTGCGTCTGGCTTCAGAAAGAGGTAAAATAGTCACGTAGCAGGGAATAAATTAGAATTTGGCCCCAAGAGCTACTGGGTTTCATTGTAGGCAAATGAAAATAAAATTTTTCCAGTATACCCTGGACATCAGAATACTTTATATACTACTAAGCCTGTACTTGAGGAAAAATTACTTACAATTTGGGCAGTAAAATAAAACTATCTTGTACTAGTGAATCAAAATAATATTTTTTCCTGCAAAACGAGATGGCATTAATCATCTTTATTACCTCTTGACAACCATTTTCTGTATTAAAATTAGCCTATCTAGTTTCTAGCTTCCATGTTGAAGTTGGGCACAATTGACTACCACAAAGAATAAGACATTCTTTTGCCTAGAATTGATTGATTTCTTTTGGTTGGGATTGATGACATAAAGGGTATGCTTATTCTGTCCTGTACCCAGCCTCAGGGTGAAAGCCTAATTCATTGCTTAGGGTAACTCATCAGTTTCATTGACTGGCACTTTGAAAGTTAAAGAAAAATTGCAGGGGGGGGACCCAAATGATGTTTTGTTTGACTCTTATGCAGTGTTGATACTGATACTTTCCAGGATTGTAAATGAAACTACTCTCCTTTTTGTGGTGTTACTGGTTACACCATGCAGTGTAAAGCAGTATGTTGCTCTGATTTAACCTATTTACATCTTTCTCTACTAATTGAGAGTCTTTATTTGTCTTGATACAAGTATTTTTGATGTTTTTATCCTGGCTAATGATTTCTTAAAGGTAATAAAACCCTTACAACTTGATTGGTCAGAGATGACTTTTTTTCCTTTATGCTAAAATAAAATAATTAATGAAGCACTTGATATTTCCAAGATTAAATTTTTGTCTATTTTTATGAATTTGCCATTCCTGAGAGAGATTTTGTACAATAAAGCAATCATAGAGATTATGGACCATTGTTTTGAAATCCTAGTATTAATTTTAAGGGTGGTGGGAGGGGAAGGGCGATGTGGATTTTGTAATCCTCAAGAATACCCAGGCTATGTTGTGACTAACACTACTTGTGATCAAGTATTATACAAAGGATCTGACTCCTGATGCATTGGAACAAACGTTACAAAGTAAATTCATTTAACTAAAGGTGGCATTCAAATATAATTCTCCATTTGATACAAAGGAGAGGAAATTACTTTTATACCAGAAAGTTGTTTTATGTAAAAGAATTTTATCAGGCTGAGAAATAATTGAAAAGCTTAATATAAAACTCTGCCATTGAGAATAGTGTTCAGAAGGGTTGAAAACAATTATACAACAGAGTTCATGAAATGTTTTGAGCAATGAAAGTATTATTAGAATAAATGTTTAGTCTTCCCGGGAACAAACTTTAAAGGGAACTATTAATTTAATATGTAGGCACCGATGATGTATTTATAAATAATTGATCATATACTTTGACCCCCAGGTATGACAGTATACTTAGTTTGCTCAGTCATATATACAAGAAAGTTTTTCAGAAGCTTTAATTAGTTCAGCATAAAATATAGACTTTCCAATTTTATATTCACTTGTTAAAATTCCCTTTGATTTAATAGACTTTTCAAGAGTTGGAAGAGGGACAGCTAGGTAGCGCAGTAGATATAGCACCGGCCCTGGAGTCAGGAGGACCTGAGTTCAAATCCAGGCTCAAACACTTGATGCTTACTAGCTGAGTGACCCTGGGCAAGTCACTTAACCCCATTGCCTAGCAAAAAAAAGTTGGAAGAAACCTAAGGGGTCAGCCTTCTTGCTCTATACTACTATGGAATGTAATTTTTTTTTTTTTACTACCAATCTGTGTAATTAAAAAAATCCTCTTGGTAAGCATAATCCACCGTTGCATTAATCATTGACAAAAATGTCAAACCAATTGCAAAATTCAGAGAAGGTGATATCATAGTCTTGATTGCAGATGGAGCAACTGGTACATAAAAACTTTAAGTGATATGCATTTCCCTGTTCAAACTGCTGTGTGCCTAGGCTAAGGGTCTAGTTAACCAGGTGACTGAACTAGAAAGCAACAGAATTTAAGTTATAAATATAGAATGTTAGAGGTGAATGGGACCTTAAAGATAATCTGATCCATGCCCCTATTTTGTAATTGAGGAAACTGAGGCCCTGGAAGGTCAGGTGATTTGTCCAAGGTCTTAATAGCTAACTGGCTTAGCTAATAGATTAGCGTTAGAATCTAAATTGAACCTAAATTGCCTGACTTTCAACATAGTAATCTTTCTTCTACATACTATTTGTAGCTGCCAGTAGATAAATTTTTGTCCATTTCATCTTTTTCTCAGAACTCCATGAAATTGTTAGAGAAAGTAATCCATTTCACTGATGAGGCAAATGAGACTCAGTGAAACCATCAGTGACATAAGCCACATAGTGAACTGCTAACAGAAACAGGACTAGGACAGGAGACTGACCAAGTGTCTTATGTCTCATCTCTAGGCTTCATGGACAGGTTTGCAAAAACTTTCTGATTCTAGACTAATTCTAAATATAGTGTATGTTGCATGCTGAAAATTCTAACTGTGTGAGACCATACTTTATGTTCAACATGTTTCTTTCACTGATTTCTGTCACATTTGAATTGTATTTTTGATCAATTGGAAGGTATTTCAGTCTGTCATAGTTTGGTTTACAAAAAGTAAAATGCCTTACCTAGCTTGGTATTAATTTAGTATAAGTTTTTATTAACATTTAGTATAATTGTGTCTTTCAAAATTGTTTTGATTTTTGATCATTGCCCATTCTGCCAAATAGCCCACGTGGGAGCCATGTGGAGAAAGGCCTGCCTAACATGAAATTTGAGAGGATTTGCTCATTAAACTGAGTGTCTAAACAGGTCGTCCGTATATTTTACCTGTTAATAATTCCTGATTGTTATTACTAATTTAATTATTGCAAATATTAAAAACAATGTTACCCTTTTTTAATATTAAGAAAACAAAACACCCATTGCAGACTTTCTTAAAATATTGAGAGCAGCTAGATGGCGCAGTGGGTAGAGCACCAGCCCTGGAGTCAGGAGGACCCGAGTTCAAATGAGGCCTCAGACGCATAACACTCATTAGCTGGGTGACTCTAGGCAAGTCACATAACCCCAGTTGCCTCAGGGAAAAAAAATATATATATATAGAAAGCTTTGAAGTAATCAATATGGGGACTTGTTTCAGAGTAACATTGAATGCTAAGACTTTTTTTCAGTTCAATTAATAATAAAGTTATTTGAGGTCCAGGAAGAAATGGAATCACTGGTAGGCTGAATCTCCTAACTTGGCTTGAAAATTCGGGGAAGTCGTTCAACTGGTCTTTGACTAGATTTCCTTAGAATACTAAAGGAAATTCTAAAGGGTCAGATAACTGGAGGTGGTGTAATTATCTGGATAATGTAAGCTAAAGAAAATAGTTTGCCCAGTTCACTAAATTGGCTTTCTAAGCTGCCCTGAACTCCTTGGATAATGTAGTGGGATAGTATAACACACTTCAGCTACATAATTGGGCCAAAGTGAACTATTTCAATAAAGCCTTGTTTAAAGCAATGTGGGTTTGAATTGGGTTAATTTAAAATGTCACTCCATATAGCACTTTCTTTTTCACTGGGTATTTCACATTTGGTTTTTAGCCATTTGTCTGAATACTGCTATGAGTTATTAACTGTTCATTTATCCACCATTCTTTGTCACAAGATGCAGAGTTTAAGAAATAAAGACTTTCTTTAACTGTATGCCCTTTGTCCCCAAAATATGTTACTTCAGAATAAACCTCATTTGTTTCTGGCATACCATTTTAATTGTTGAAATTCACTAAAAATTAAATCCCTCTTATTCCCTTCCATATGGGCCTCTCCACCCCCCACCCCAAACAAACAAAGATTATTATACAAGGTATGTAACCTAGAAAAAATCCTCAAGATGTTTTTCTTACTGCAAGCAAGTTTGTAAAGCCATCGTTCAGGCCTGCTACTCCTTTTGTTTTTTTTTAAGATGAAACTGATAGAGCAAAAATGACAGTGACTGTCATTCCCACTTATATTTTTCATGTAATTATGGTGCATGACTGCTGCTGATGTCTTTGCAGACATCAAAAAATGGTCCTCTGGTGAATGTGTGTATGTGTTCATGTGTCTAAAAGGCTTATATGTATGTATATACATAACATCTTACCTGAATTGATAATGTTATAGATTTAAGATTGTGAATAATAAAAATTTGTTCTATGTAACCAGTTTTACTTTTGTCTGATGTAGCATTCAGTTCATCACTTTGAGATCTATAAATTGTGATATGTTTTGTTTTTACCCTTGTATTTTTCCCAGTACTTAGTATAGCACTTTACACTTTGGTGCTTAATAAATATTTTTTTAATACTGAGGCCTAAGTCAGTGGAAAATAAAGGTTAAAATCATGGTTTTATGGAGCTATGTACAGTGGAGGTCTTTAATCAGTCACTGAGAATCTTGAAGCCTGTCCTGATCAATCTCAAATTCACCACTGTCCTACTTTTCCCCCTCCACTTCTAGTCCCCAGAATTTTGTCTAGCTTCTCATCACAGTAGGGAAATAGAGTTATATCTGCATCTTACCAATCCCTGCCCCACCCCAACTCCTTTTTACAGTTCAAGGCCTTTAATGATATGTATGCTCTTATGGTAGCAGGGAGAGATAATATAATCTTAGGCCTTTAGGAAAAGGGAGATGGTGCCTCTTTTTTTTTTTAATTGGAGATCCCTGGTGTACAATATATGTCTTTAATTATCTGCGTATTGTCTTTTACAAGATGTTCTAAAATACATGGGTATCTAAATATATAACAAAAACAAAATATAGATTGTTATAGTTTATTCTGTGGATTAAGTTATAGTTTATTCTGTTTATAACTTGTAAAAAGAGATGCTTTAAGATGTCTTTACTTAATGATTCTTTGAAAGTGTTAGTGTATTGCTAAAAGTATAGAGTATTAAGTAAAACTATGATAGTATTGCTAAAAACTTTAAATTTTCTATTATACTATCACCCTAAAGTTAGTTGAAATGGTTTTTGTAAATCATTTAGTAGAGACATAATAGTTGACGGTAGCATAGCATTTTACAGGCACACCCTTCATAGGATTAGCCCCACCAAGGTCTTCACAATAATATTATTAATGTTTATGTTTCAGTATTTCAGGTATCCATGATTTCATTGAGCCAGTTACTCCATCCACCAGTACAGTTCATAGTCTCTCCATGCCTTAGTTTTGTGAATAGCTCTCTAAGTTAACTTAAATGGTCCATTGTTTACTGGTCCCATACAAGTTAACAAGCCCTCCCAGCTTGGTAGGCCCTCCACTGACATAGCTTTTCAGAATTCAGTATCACCTCTACACCAAAAGGAGGGGCATTAGAGAAGAACCATTAATAAATTATATCAAAATCTTGCCATTTACATTGTTGTAAAGTCACTGTAATATCATCTGACCTGTCTTCCATTTATACATTGTTATGGAACTGTCCCCTGTATTGTTATTTTGCCTAATGTATTTTCTGGTGGTTTTTTTTTTAACTTTGTTTTTAATTAACAGTTTTAAGCAGAGCACATTTATTAACATTTATGATCCTCACAACCATCCTGTAAGGTAAGTAATACAAGTAACGGAATCTTGAAAGCACCTGGGTTCTAATTGTTCAGACATTTAATATGTGACCCTGGTCGAATGCATTTCTGGGCCTTAGTTTCTTCATCTGTAAAGTGACGTAATTGAACTCGGTGACTTTTAAGGGTCCATCCGTCTTTGAATCTATGATCCTATGATTCCCATTTTGCCAGAGAGTGAAGTGACTTACCCAGTGCTCCACAACTAATAAGCTGCCAATCTGAGATGTGAATGCAGGTCTTCCAGTATGGTACCTACTAAGCCACCTTCCTTTCAAGGC